TCTCTCCAGCAGCATGCTGTGGGCTGGAGCTGGCAGGCTGCCTCCTCCTCCTCCCCCACTCTGGCTCACAGCCTAAACCCCCCTCTCCCAGGATCCTCATGAACTCGGAGAAGCTCAAGTCCCGCATCACAGAGATCCACGACAGCAAGATGAAGCTGGAGCAGGACCTGAAGAAACAAGCCTCGGAGAACCGGGAGATCGACAAGCGCATGAACAGCCTCAAGCCAGACCTGATGCAGCTGCGCAAGCTGCGGGACCAGTACTTGGTGTACGTAGTGCCCCTGCAGCGCGGCCCGGGAGCCATCCAGCTGCCTCCCGCAGGGCTCTGGGGCTCGTTGGACCGGCTCGCAGCCCGCTGTGGGCAGGAGCCGCTCCCACAGCGCGGCCTCGGGGCTCGGCGGGCTCCGGCAGCGGCGGCTGCTGCCCTCTGGTGATGGCCACGCCCGGGGCTCGCTGCAGCCGCGCTCAGCTCTGCCCTCCTTCCCCAGGTGGCTGACGCAGAAGGGTGCCCGGCAGAAGAAGATCAACGAGTGGCTGGGCATCAAGAACGAAACAGAGGAGTGAGTGTCCTGCTCGTGTACTGTGGGATTTAGGAGATGTGGGAGCACAGGTTGTCCAGCTGGTTCTGCCCGTGCTGCGGCCCTGGACAAATCCCAGCTCCCTGCCAGGGGGCTGACGTTGTCTTCCCTGCCAGATGGGCGATGGCATCTGGCAGTGTGGGGAGATGTAGGGGCCACACACCCAAATTCAGGCAATCTGACCCTGCCTGTGCTCCATTGCAGTCAGTACTCCATGATGGATGATGAGGAGGAGCTGCCCCACCATGAGGAGCGGACGTGGTACGTGGGGAAGATCAACCGCGTGCAGGCAGAGGAGATGCTGTGTGGGAAACGGGACGGCACCTTCCTGATCCGTGAGAGCAGCCAGAAGGGGTGCTATGCCTGCTCTGTGGTGTGAGTATCCCTGTGCAGGTGGGATGGGATGGGATGGGATGGGATGGGATGGGATGGGATGGGATGGGATGGGATGGGATGGGATGGGATGGGATGGGATGGGATGGGGCTGGCCCAGGTTGTATTCTCGCATAACTCCACCCTCCAGATGCTGGAGGTGACAGTTCCCATCTGCCTTGGCTTCTCCTGCCAGGGCCAGCTGTATCTTTGCACTGCTTTGGTGGCCGTGCTTGTGCTCCCCTGTCCCACTGCTGACCCAGGCTCCCGTGTCTCCCTGGCAGGGTGGATGGTGACACCAAGCACTGCGTGATCTACAAGACGGCGACGGGCTATGGGTTTGCTGAACCCTACAACCTCTACGCCTCCCTCAAGGATCTGGTCTTGCACTACAAGCACACGTCCCTGGTGCAGCACAATGACTCCCTGAATGTCACGCTGGCTCACCCGGTCCTTTCCCAGCCACCAGCCAGATGAGCAGCCCATGCACAACACAACAGCTGCCTTCAGCTTCTCCCCAGGGCGCTGCTTTCTGGCTCTGGACTCTTGCACCCTGTATAGTTGAGTCTCTGTGCTCCTGCTCCTTCAGAGCCTCTGAGATGTCTGTGACCGTTCCTGATGTCCCTCTTGGTCAGTAGCTGAAACCCGTGTTGGCTGATGGGACAGAAAGGCTGGGCTGTAGATTTGCAGTGGGCTCCAGCCTCTAGGAGGTGGGATCCAGTTGTGATTGAATTGCTGGAGGTGAGCACAGCCCCCTCCCCTTCCCTGATAAGCAGGTCAGATCCCCTTCTTGCTGGCAGGTCGCCCCGCTACGCATCACTGTAGAGCTTTGGTTCCTGATTCCTCGGTGCTGTGACCGAGGGGTTCCCTGCCTGGACACTGCAGGAGGCAGAGGAGGAGGCTCCATTGAGTGTTTGCATCCTTCACTCTTGCTTCCCTTGGTGGCCTCGCAGGCTGTGATGGTGTCTGGTACGAGGGGTGCTGCTCTTGCATGCAAAGACACATTTAGGAAGGAGAAACCTCATCTTCCATGGGGCTTCCCGGCCGAGATCTTCACTCCGTGCTGTGCCCCACCTCGCCACCATTCCCTCTTGTCATAACCACCTCTGGAGTGTTGCTGCCTGGGCAGGGAGGATCTGCTTAGCTGTGAATCTCCCGCCTTAGTTGTGCCAACGAAGCTGTGAAACCCGTGTTGGTACCCGTGTTTTTCCTGGCAGGATCTGTGGGATGCACAGCTCGTTGTTTCCGGCCTGTTTCGGTGACTCTCTGCACACATAACCCATTGAAGCTGACTGTAGCTCTGTAAATATGGTTCTTTTTGTGACCGGCTGCTCCCCTGGTGCTGGTGTTTGCTGAGCCCCCAGTGCCACCCCCAGCGTGGGCAGCAGCTGCCAGGCTGCCACAGCCCCGGGCCCTGCAGCTGAAGCAGGAGAGGGCTGGAGTCCAACGCACACTACGAGCCCTACCTGGAATGAAGGACCTCTCTGCTGCAGGAGGACACATCTGTGGGGCCCAGGGCATGCTGAAATGTATCTGCATGATGGTGAACTATGTATGCAAAGCACTTAAAATCGTGGGTACTGTATGGGACCGGGGCAGGGCGCTGTGCCCGAGCTCAGAGGGCCCCAGGGCAGCCCAGGTGGGCTTGGAAGAGCTTTAAAAGCTGAGCTGAGAGTTGAGGCCATGGTGGCATTTGCTTTCCTGGCTTATCTCAGCTGCCTGGCTGGAGGAGAGCATTCTTGGTCCTCTTGATTTGCCAGAGTGGCTCGTTCCCTCTCGGAGGCTCCTCCTTGGGACAGGCAGGTGGATGCCGTGGACTTTGGCACTTCTGTTTCCCATTGCAGCTTGGGTTCTGCTGGATCCATGGGGTGTTCTGTGCTCCTGCTGTGCCTGCATCCTGTCCTTGATGTGCCCCCTGTGTTGGGGACCGCACTGTCCTTCCCTCCCCAGCCAGCTCTGCTGCTTGCCTTGCTCTGGGCTGGTCCCCAGATCCTTCTGGAGCTGGGGCTGCTGGAGCAAACATCCCATTCCTGTTGCTTGTGGCAGCTCTCCTATGCTCAACTGTACAGCCCCGTTCCCTGCCCTGCATGTCCTCTCCAGGCCCTGGGCCTGGTTTTTGGGTCTGGTTTGTCAGTGTTTGGTGCTCAGGTGCAGGCAGTGGGTCAGGGGAGCTGTGAGGGCACGGCCCAGGAGAGGCTGTGGTTGGCTTTGGGGATCACTTGGGAAAAGCTGCCAGGGATGATTAAGGGAATAATTTGGACTTGGGCACGTGAGAGATGAGGGCACGTGGGACTGGGGCAGGGAGGCTCAGTGCTCACAGCTCTATCCAGAGGCCTCCTGGGGCCTGTGGAGTGGCCAGGGGGCTGCACCAACACTCCAAAGCTTTGTTAGTGTTCCATACCTTTCCAGCCTGGGGACTCTGCTGGTCCTGTGCTTGTCCCTGCACTTCCAGTACATCCCCACATCACAGGACAAGCTGTAGGCAGATGGGATCCTCAGCCTCTCATCCCGTGGGCTCCACGTTCCTCCACCACCACCCCTAAACGTGAGCTTGGGGCCAGTCCTGCCTGGGGAGATTGTTCCCCACTCATGTCAGGACCTGCTGAGCATCTGGAAGAGTCTCAGCTTGAAGCTGTCACCTGTCAACACTCACTTGGTGCTCACCTGGCTCTGCTGCCCAGGGAAATTCCAGCTTCTCTTTTTTCTGTGTTTTTATCCTTTTGGCTGAATTTCTGTTGTTGTTCCCGCGGTGTCCCTTCCTGCTGTCCAGCCACAGCCCAAGGAGGGGTCACAGTGACCCTTCTGCACCTTCCAGCACTGCCTTCCCTGCCCGCTGGCAGCCTGTCCTTGACAGGGCACTGCTCACGTCCTGTGTTTGACGAGGAGGAAGATGCCCTTCCCCAGGGCTGCCTTTCCCTGACGGTGCTTCACTTGGCTCCCTGAACAGCAGCTTTCCTGCTCTCCCCGGGGTGGAAGCTCAGCCCGGAGCTCCCCCAGCATAAGCTCGTTGTGATTTGTCCTTTGCTGCTTTGGCTCGTTCTGAACCCGGCCGTGTTTCGAGGTGCTGGGCTGTGCTTTGCTGCTTGTGACCCCCACGTCCCCCAGCCGAGCCACACACACCCGCATCCCGTGGGTGCCGCATGGCTGTTCCTGCTCCCTGGGGCACAGTTTGAGGCTTGTCCCTCCGTGTCCCTGCTCTTGTGGGGCTCCAGGCTCCCCCGTGTAACCCCCAAGGTGCCAGCAGAGGCTTTGTGCTCGGAGAGGACGTGGCGGCTGCGTGAGGTTTTAGTTTCTAGGTATATGCAATAAAGAATAACCTGCCCCCCAAGCTGTCCGTTACCAGCAGTAGTGCTCTCTGCTCTTTCTGTTGATGTTTACTAATGTAAACCCAGTATTTGTTACTGTAAGAGGATTTTTTTTTTTGTACGGTACTTTGAAAAAACCCACGAAAACAAAACAAAACAAAAAACAAAAAAAAATGAAAGAAATAAACAGAGTTAATGAACCAGGCTCCTGGATTGCTGTGGGAGGTTGTGCGGGGGCAGGAGGGTGGTGGGGCTGTGCCCCAGTTTCTGGGCTGGGTGCAGGATGTGACCCATCGTGCCAGGATTGTGCTCCTCGGGTTTGTAAGGCTGGGGCACGTGTGGACGAGGGCTGAGAAACGCCGGAAACAGCGGCTACGAACGGGGGAACGACGAGGTTCCTCCTCACTCGGCCCCGCAGCTGAGCTCGGCATGTCTTGGGCTGCACCCCCTTCCCGGAGCCGCCCGGGGGCTGTGCTGGGACCCAGCCCCGCTTCCCTGCTCGGGGAACTCCACGCGTGGCTGCTCCACGCTGGGCTCCGCTCCCGGACCTGTCAAAACCCGCGGGGAAGCGGCGGCTGCGGGCAGGGCTGCGAGCCCAAAGCTGCGGGTCAGGGGACAGCGGGGACTCGGTGGCCGGAGCCCACGTGGGCCAGCGGCGTCACGGGAGGCGGCGGCTGGGGCGGCAGGAAGGGCGCAGGGAGGGAGGCGGGCGCAGCCGAGCTTTAAAAGCCCCCGCTGGGACGGGCTCATTTCCGCGTCACCCCGGCGTCCTCATGGCCCCCGCGGTGCCGCTGGCTGTCCTGGCGCTGGTGGCCCTGGGGCTCGGCGTGGCCCCGGGGCTCGGGTTGGCCCCCGGCTGTGATTACCCTGCCCACCGCTGGTGCAGCTCGAGGGACACCGCTGTCGCCTGCCAGGTCAGAACCGCTGTTGCTACCGGAGCTGGGGACAAGGGCAGGGTCACTCGGCACGCGGGGCCACCTCCCGCCTGCCCGGCAGCAGGGACGAGGGACGCGGGGACAAGGTTGGGGCAGCGCCTGGCCGCGATGGCCGGAGCGAGTGCCAGCTGCGGGCATGGCTGAGGCACAGGCTGTCACATCCGCAGGGATGCTCAGAGCCTCCGGTGCCACACGGGCGCTACGGCATTCCCCGGCATCCCTGGGGAATGGTTGTGGTCCAGCCGGACCCTGACCACGGCCCCCCACCAGCTGCCGCTGGCACTTCTGCTTTTTCAGTGTAAAACCGCTTTTCGGTTTATTCTGCCCCAAACAGACTCGGGTGGTGGCAGCGCCCTGTGATCCCCATGGGGCAGCAGCTTCCCCCTGGCAGTGGGTGCTGGGCCATACCCCCACCGAGGCATGTCCTGGTCTTAATTTGTTTGTCCCTGAAATAATTTGGGGAAGTTCTGGTGGAAAGCCCCAGCGCTGGGTGTCAGCCACGCACAGGATCCTGTGGCAGCAGAAAGTTCCCGGCTACTTTCACTTCCCTCTAGCCCTCCACATCCTCATCCCCCTTCTTCCCTGCATCCCCGGAGCTTTTCCCCATCCTTGCAGATACTGGGATGGGGGGTCTGCAGCCCTATCCCCCCTCCGTGCACCCCGAAACCTCCCCGTGTGCAGGTGGAGAGCCGCTGTCCCAGCCTCCCGCGCCCCGCGGCCGCTCCCGTGCAGCTGAGCCTGTACTACGAGAGCCTGTGCCCGGCGTGCCGCGACTTCCTGGTCATGAAGCTCTTCCCCACCTGGCTGCTGCTGCCCGAAGAGATGCTCAGCATCACCCTGGTGCCCTACGGCAACGCCCAGGTAGGAGCCGGCCCTCCCGGCGCCGCGGGCTCGCCCCGGTGCTGCCGGCCCCGCTCAGACCGGTTGGTCCCGCAGGAGAGGAACGTCAGCGGCAAGTTGGACTTCATGTGCCAGCACGGCCCCGAGGAATGTTTGGGCAACATGATGGAGGTGACGGTCCCCGTTCCCACGGTGCTGGCACAGGAGGGTCCAGCAGCCCCTCACCGCCTGCCCTGTCCCCCTAGGCCTGTCTGATGCACGAGGCCAAGAACTTCAGCACCTACTTCCCCGTCATCTTCTGCCTGGAGTCGGGCAGCTCTGTCACCAAGAACCTGGAGGCTGTATGTCCCCATCCCTGCCCCTCACGCCCCACCCTGGGGGACATCCCTGTCCCCCTGACCGCCCCCGTGTCCCCTGTACCCGGCAGTGCCTGCAGATCTACGCCCCGGAGGTGGACAGTGGCCGCATCACTGCGTGCGTGCAGGGGGACACCGGGGTGGCCCTGATGCACCACAATGCCCAAATGACCGATGCACTGCAGCCCCCGCACCAGTACGTGCCCTGGATCACCGTCAATGGGGTATGCCAGGGGTCACCAGGGTGCCAGGCAGGGCTGGGACACCCTGGGGACCTCCCCTGACCGGCCCCGTGTCCCCCCACAGAAGCACACGGACGAGCTGCAGGCACAGGCAGAAGCCTCACTGCTGGGACTGGTCTGTCACCTCTACCAGGTGGGACAAGGCTCTGGGTGGGCAGCAGGGCTTGGGGACGTGTCCCCATCCCTGCTGGGACTCTAATGGCTGCTCTCTGACAGGGAAAGAAGCCCGAGGCCTGTGGGGGCTCCAAGGCCCCAAAGCTCCCAGCTGGCTGCAGGCGCTGAGGGATGCTGTGGGAGCACTGAGAGAGATGCCAATAAAAAGGATATTTTTATTGAAAACCACCAGGATCTGGAGTGGTGTGGTGGGGGAGCAGGGAGGGGATGGTGGTTTTGCCCTGCCACAGTGGGAAGGAGAGAGGGGCTGGGCACCGAGGCACCAGGACTATCCTGTCCTCCAGATCTGGGAATTACCTGCTCCAGAGGTTCACAAAGAAGGCCCTTGAAGATTCCCAGGAACTCTGCTGAACAGCTCCCTGAGGAGCAGAACATTTCCTCTCTCCAGGTCTCAGGAAGCAGCTCTGGTGTCCGTCTTTCTCCTCACACTGACAGCATTAACCTCAACCATTTCAGGAGCAATGGGCCCAAGACCATCTCAGTTCCCACCAGTCCTTTTCCATTCCCAACCAGCAGGTTTAGGATGGCTTTCCTGGTGGTTCCCTGAGCACTTGTGACAAGAAGTTATCAGGAACTTCAGGAATTTCCCAGACCTGCTTGCCCCAGCAAGAGGCCGTTCCCAGCTGGGGTCTGGGAAACTGAAATTCACCACAAGGACAAGGAATTCTGATCCAGAGAATTCTCCTCACTACCTGTAGGACAACTCCTCAGTGCTGGGGTCCTTGCTGGGTGATGGGAAGCAGAACTTGTCTGTTTTTCCATCCCCCTCATCCTCAGCCAGAGGCTTCTGACTGCAGCAACTGCCCTCAAACCTCTCCTCACACAAGGTGTGACCCCATCCCCGGCATGGGGCTCATCCCACCACATCCCAGCTCTGGGTACAGACCAAGGGCACTGGCAGAACCCCGAGAGCCACCTGTAGCCTCCCTTAACCCTTTCCTTTCCCAGAGGAGCTGGGGAGGCTGTGGGAGCAGGAGGGACACAGGAAGCCCCCACATTCCATCCTGAGAGATGCCAGAGAGCCTTGAGCAGCCAACAGCCAGGAGGAACCACGGCCCTGCCACCACAGCCATCACTCCTCCTCTCTCTCAGGCTCAGCCAACCTGGGCCACCTGTCCTGGGCACCTCTCAGTGTCCCCACCACCCCAAGGACAGCAAGGGAGGCTGCTGCAGGCAGGCAGGGACCCTCCTTCCTTTGGCTGCAACTCAGGCAGCAGCAAGACCTGGAAAGATGAGGGAGAAGAAACAATACAAAAGAAAAAATTTAAAAAAATCACAGCATAAGCCAGAGAGTGCCTGGAAACTTCATCTCTCTTTATTGTCCATTTTCATCCAAAACCTGGACCCCAAACCCAGCTCTGGGCCCTGAGCAAGCACAGTCCCACCGGCATGAGCACAGCATGGCACAGCTCCTGCTGCTGCTCAGCGTCTGCCTCGAGCATCGTCCCTGCCCCAAAACTTCTGTCCCCTGGATCAGCTGCACTGCCACTGCCCACAGCTCGCAGGGCCATAGAAAATTCTTCTGCTCGAGAGAGAAAGGGAAGAGAAAGGAAATAATAAACCCTAACCGTGAATCCGAAGGAATTTCAGCGCCGGAGGGCGAGTTCCCCTAGCCCGAAGCTGCTGGGGAAGCCCTTGGTGCCCTCGGGGCTGTGGGGCAGGCGCAGGACCTCGTCCCACGGGCTGGGGGGCTCGGACACCCACGGTGCTGCCAGGGCATTGCTGGGGGCAGGTTTGGCCGCGGGACAGAGGCCGCTGCCCCAGGGTGTCCAGGAGCCTCCCCTGGGGCGGCTCTCGGTGCCCGAGCCCACCCCGAGCTGAGGGAAGTCTTTGCTGCTGAGGACTGAGCTGGGAAAGGCGCTGGAATTGCCAAGCGTGAACTCGCTGCCCGGCCAGGTCGGTGCCATCAGATCCTGGTTCAGGAGGAGGGACAGCGACCCTGAGGCATCATCGGGCTCCGGAGAGCTGCTGGGCAGGGAATCCTCGAGGCTGCAGGGGAAGGTCAGAGCCGCCGGCGGCCCCTTCCAGCCCGCCCGCTCCTCCCCGGCTTTCTTCTTGCCCCCTTTCCCGCAGAGCCGCACCACCCTGATGCTGTGCCAGTCGCGGTGCCCGAGGCTCTCGAAGGCTCTGCGGGCGCTCTCCAGGCTCTCGTACTCCACCAGGGCACAGCAGCGGCTCAGCAGCTCGGGGAACCGCGAGGAATATTTGCGCACATCCGAGGGCAGCTTGCGGCCCGGCCGCAGGAGGCGGATGGAGGCGATGGCACCGAAGGGGCTGAACATCCTCGTGATGGTCTCCAGGAAGTTTTTCTGCAGGGGCAGGTCCTGCTCCCGCGGCTGCAGCTCCCAGGCCAGCAGCAGTTTGCTGGGGGGGACGCTCAGCAGGTACTCGGGGATCGGGAGCCGCCGCCTCACTTTGGTGCCCTCTTTGTTCACCTCCAGCAGCGCCGAGAACTTGAGGGCGTAGAGAGTGAGGCGCCAGTCCCGGGTCAGGTATTTCACCTGTGCAGAGAGGGTGGAATCCCCATCAGTCTGCATCCCCCAGGCAGGGACCACCCTAAACCCACCCTCCAGGCAGGCTGCGACCCCATCCAATATCCCCCACGGCAATACGCCCCTTCTAGGGGAGCAGCTTTGGATCTGCAGACAGTCCCCAGTGTCCCCTAGGCTCTGGCAAGAAACCACAACTTCCCCCTAAGCCACACCACAGCACTTCCCTGTTTTCTTCGGGGTTTTTTTTTTGGTTTTTTTTTTCTTTTCACTTCCAAAGTCCAGGGGAAGCCTGGGTAGCAGTGAACCCAGCCCTGGGGGTGTTTTGAGGAGTTTTCCTTGCTCCCGCAGCCACCCTCCCTGGACACAGAGCAGGGCACGGAGAGCAGAGTCCAGCTCTGATCACCAGCACACAGCCTGGACCCCCCACACACCCAGGCCCCACCTTCTTGAAGGATGTCAGCAGTTTGATGCTGACAAAGCCCATCTTGTTCTTCTGCACGTGTTTGAGGAGGAAGGCGTCCTTGGCCAGGTTCTCATCCGACAGGTAGAACTCCACCTGGGCCACGATCCTGCGCACCAGCTGCGGGTCTGGGGCCGAGCAGCTGCAGTCCAGCAGAGCCACCCCCAGCTCGCAGGAGTTCCTGCACAGCGGTGAGGACACGGGGGTGAGCTGCTGCCTAAGCCACCATGGTGGGACAGCACCACGGGCACCCAGGGTGGCCACCAGCCTTGCCCTGGGTGCAGGGAACAACTCCAGCCCGTGCCTCGTGAGTGTCCCAGGAGAGCCAGACTGAATTAAACACGTCCCAGGCCAGGGACACAACACGGACACATCCTCCTGAGGACAAACACATGCAAGGAGCAGGGCTCAGCCCCTCCCCACGTACCCAGTGTAGCTCTCCACGATGTCCTCCTGGCTGAGCAGGGCAAGGGAGCAGCTCCATGGGGGAGGGAGAGGCCGTGCCAGGAGGGAATTCCTTGGTACAGGCACTGGAGTGCTGCAGCTGGGCTGGGAATCGAGCCCCGAGGCCACTTCAGAGCCATGTGCAGACATTGTCCTTCACCTGGGACATGACACAAGAGAAGGACAGTGCTGGGACACCCTGACCATGCCAGCCCTGGGACAGAGCCCCCAAACCCAGCCCAGGGCAGGGGCACTGGAGGAGGTGGCTGTTGTGTCCTTACCTGCTTGCTAGCACTGGAAGGGTAGAAGTTCTCAGTTCTAGCAGTACATCCCAGACACCCCAAGGCAACAATTCCCAAATTCCCCTCAGTTCTAAACCAACACTCCCAAAACACAAAGGCAAAAAAAAAAAAAAAAGTAAAAAAAAAAAAAAAAGAAAAGAAAGAGAGAGAGAAAGCCCTAAGGGTGAGGGGGGTTTGGGTTTATAAACACCCCCTGAAGGCACTGCAGGGGTGGTTGTGGACCTGCCCCCAGGCTGCCTGCTCCAGGTGAAACCTGTTTGTGGTTAAACTGCCCCAGCTGAGCCCTGGGACCAGCCAGGCTCCTCCTGCCTGGGCTGCAGAGCCAGGCCAGGGAGCAGGCAGGGTAGGGCCAGCAGAACTTGTCCCCTCTGGTAGCCAGGGTCAGTGAATTGCAGCCTCGAGGCCTCTCAGTCTGTGCCTGGTGTCCCTGCCTTGTGCAGGGATGGTGACAGCCACATGGAAGGAGGGGAAGCTTCTGTCCAGGGAATCCTTTGGGCTCTCAGTGGAGCCAGAGCAGCAGGGAAAGGCTCTTCTCCCTGCAGGAACATCCCCCGGCCCAGGGAGGCAGCAGGGATGGTGTGAGGAGCAGGGCAGGGGGACAGGAGGGCCCCTGGCTCCATGGGGAAGGGTCTGCAGTGAAACATCCCCATGGCCTGAGCCCCGTGCTGGGGGAAGGGGAGGACACTGGGCTGGGGCAGGCAGGGGGTGACACTGGGCTGGGGACAATGCCAGGGCAGGGACGTTGGGGCTGCGTGGAAGCTGGAACTGCCCCTGTAGGGGCTGGTGCTGGGAGCCCACCTGAGCCTCTCCTCCAGGCTTGGTGATGTTCCTGTGCCCTGTGGCCACATGGACAGGCCAAGGGCTCCCCTGGCACAAGAGAAGATGCTGTTTCACACCAAATAACAGGAGAAAATGCAAGTAAACAACAGAATGTGGCTCTGGCTCCTGTTTTCAAATATGTATTTTTGTGTTGGTTCATTTTGAGAACTTCATCTCATTTCTCTTTGCAAGTCCCCCTGTCCCAGAGGCTTCCTTGAGCTAGGTGCCTGTTCTCTGGCACTGTGGGGACAATCCAGGAGTGCCAGAGCAGGACCAGGAACCAAAAGCCATCCCAACCAAGGCACACATTCCCAAGGGGACAAACAGGAGGCGAGTCTGGGGCTCATCCCCCCCTCACACCCTGGCACAGATTGAAGCTCTCCAAGGTGTCCTGGCTGTCCCCAGACCAGCAGCACCTCCCAGGCTGGTGGCTCTGCAGTGTCCCCTGCCCCTTAGGCTGCTCCCAAGGAATCCCTGGGCTGTGCCACCCTGCCCTTCGGGGATGAGCCACAGGGACTGGCAACGTCCAACTCCTGGAATGTTGTACCCTTCTGATTTCCCCGGGCTTGGTGTCAACCCCTGGCCACCTCCCCTTCTCCCGCCACCTCCTGGTGTTCTCTGCTAGTTGGGAAGAGGTGGAAGACAAAATCTTGAGATGCTTGTGCTGATATCTCTGCAGGATTTGTCCATCTGGGAGGGGTGATGGAGCCAGAGGCAGGCTGAGGATGGGGGGTGTAGGTACTAACAGGAGGATTTTGAGCTGTGTTTGCTTTCTGCTTAGAGGCAGATTTTCTCAGGGTTAGGAGGTGCTGCCCAGCTGCCCAAGGGGGAAATAATCTCCTGCTTCCAGACCCGAGATTCCCAAAGGAAGAGGCTCTAACTGGTCCAGCCAGACTGGGCATAATCCAGAGGGAGTGAAGCCAAGGCACAGAGGCAGAGGCTGAACCTTCCCGAGGGGTCAGAGCAGGAATGTCCCAGCACTTGTCACATCCCTCCCATCCTCACTGCTCCCATCCTCTCAATTAGTCTGGAAGCTTAATTAGAAAATCCTCCTGTGGCCCTGTGCTCAGTCTGATCCTTCAGCCTCTCCTCCCCTCCGAGGTTGGCTGTGATGGGGCTATCCCTACACACAGCTGCTGCCTTCCTGCAGACCCCAGATCCTGCCCAAAACTGCTTCAATTACCCTGCCCTGGGCAGCTCCTGCATCCCCCTGAGGCTGCTGCAGCATTTCCTGGCACCTCTCAGGGATCACAGAAGAAATGGGACCACGACACTCCTTGTGCAGGCCTGAGCATTGGATACACATTTATTGCTGTTCAGGTTTAGCTGGGAATTCTGTGCAAGGGGGTTTGGGTGCTTCTCCAGCCTCCTCACACGCTGCTGCAGAGCTCCAGAGCATCTCCTTTGCACGCTGGCTTCCCTCAGAGGAAGAGCTCAACTTCCTATGGCCCCCAGTGGGAGCAGGGCAGTTAAGATTTGGTTGCTCAGTTGTTTATTTAGACTCTCTTATCAGCAGGATCCCAAGTGTGGACTCTGACCCAGAGTTTTCATGGTTATGTACATTTAAATCTGCCTCTCTCACTTCTCTCCTGCCACTTCCATGTGAGACATTTACAGACAAACATCACCCTGGCACAGTACAGGAGGGAAGATGTGCCACTGCACACACTCTCATTTCATTTGCCATTAGGAACGTGTTTGAAAGTGTCACAGCTGCCTTAGTGCCACTGGGAACAAGAAAATCCAAGACTTAGAATATTCTCTGCCAGGCAAATGTACACGAGACCCCTGGAAAAGCTCACACCAAACACTGCATCATTAGAAACCATAATAATAAAAGCTATTTATGACACGGCCTTTATTCACAGAGAGATTTGCCCCAGGGCTTTGTTTTTGCAGTTTAGCTTGATGACAGATCCCCTCCTACCCCTCTGCCCTGTAGCCCACAGCACCCCAGGGCAACCCATGTCAGCACAGACCCCACAGGACATGGGAAAGGGGAATAAACCCTGCTGAGCTCCCCCAGCTCAGCCCCATGGGAGCCACCCCTGCACTGTCACTGCAGGAAAAGGCAAAGGGATCCAGAGAGGGAAATGCCATTGGAGTGCTGAGCCCCCGGGGTCTGTGCCAGCCCCTCCCTACCTGGGCTGGGTTGTTGGGCCAATCTGAGCTGTACTGGGCCAGTCTGAGCTGTACTGGGCCAGTCTGAACTGTGCTGGGCCAGTCTGAGCTGTACTGGGCCAGTCTGAGCTGTGCTGGTCCAATCTGAGCTATGCTGGGCCAGTCTGAGCTATACTGGGCCAGTCTGAGCTGTGCTGGGCCAGTCTGAGCTGTGCTGGGCCAGTCTGAGCTGTGCTGGCCCCCCTGGAGCAGGGGAAATGGGAACAAGGCCCACCCTAAGGCACTGTGGTCACACACCCTCGCCCCTGCTCCGGACCCTCCTTCAACGTCAGAGCAGGACATGGAGTGGGAATTTCACAAACTCCCGGATGTGGGACCAGTTCCTGTCTGCCTGGGCACCGTGGAGGATGGGGATTGCCATGGGATTGCCATGGGATTGCCATGGGATTGTCCCAGGCATTGTGGCACAGGGACAAGGAACACGCTCTGCCTCCAGCTGCCACTGCCTCGGAGTCCTTTGGTATCTTGAGTTGGCCTGATGGCATCCCAGGAGCATTGGGGTGAAGTGCCAAGCTGGGGAGACGTGGAAGCAGGTGGGAATGCTCATCCCATAGTCCCAGAGCACGGCTGTGTCTGCAGGGATGTGCAGCCTGGAGCCTCTCCCCAGGCAGGGACAAGGGACACCAGCTGTCCTGTGCTCCCCGGTGCAAGAGATTTGGCAAAGCCAGAGCCAGGACAGCTTGTCTGGAAAGGCTGGAGGAGAAGGGCCGGGTATTTTTCCTTCTTCTTGGGCACTGATTGGTTCAAGTTTGTATCACAGTGAAGTCTGAGACGTGGGGAAGGAACCCAAAGCACCTTCCCTGACAGAGGAAGCCTCGTTTGTGCTCCTCACTCCGGCTGGAGAGCGAGGACAGCTTCTCCCAGCCAGGCACATCCCACTGCTGCTGACCACAGAGGCTTCCGTCCCTTGGGAGCAGACTCTGGAGCTTCTCCCTCCATCTGGAGGGACACTGGCAGCCGAACCAGCCCCGTGCCAGCGCCTGCCCCGGCTCAGCCCATCCTCAAACACAAGTAAACATAAAGAGAAACTAAGAGGCACTATAATAACGCAGATCCGGGGGGGCCAGGCTGGGCACAGCCAGCCCGGCTCCGGATGGCTCGGTCCAGCTGGGGACAAGCCGAGTGGCGGTGTCAGATGTCCTGCAGGGAGTGGCCGGGCTCGCAGCGCTCCCGTTTCACCAGCGGCTCCCCCAGCGCCTGCTCCGGGTCCACGTCGGTGCTCAGCTCGCTGATATCATCTGCAAAGGACACGGATCAGGGCAGGGAACTGAGCCACCAGGAGCTGCCAGAGCCAGCAGAGCTCCCCCTGCCACAGCCAGCAGAGCTCCCGGCACCGAGGGAGGTACCTTTGTCCAGCAGCGTCGGGGACAGCGATGTGAGGTCGCCAAACTGAAAGAAAAAGGAGTCACGGGGTCAGTGAGGCTTTGGGGAGCCAAGGTGCCAGACCTGCTCGATGGCATCACCAAACAATTTCAACCACCCAGGAGAGACCGTGAGCATCAGTGCTGGTGGTGGAGAGCAGAAATCCAAACCAAGCACAGGTTTTGGGGGAAAAGCCTTTTGTTGCCATTTAAACCTCTGGGCAAACACCACACACAACAATCCAGGGCAGGATTTAGCTCTGGAATGAAGGGAGAAATTTTTCCATCTCCCAAGTGATGACCAAGTGCTGCCACACGCAAAGGTGGTGCCTTTTCTCCAGCCTTTTCCACCTCTCAGACATTTCCCCTCTCCTGGACTCCACTTTCACCTCTCTGCAAAGTCTTTGCAGCGAAGTCAGAGAGAGTTTGGCCAGCGAGGCTGTGGTGCCAAGTGAAACCAGAGAGCTCCTTGGTTCTCAGATGTGGTGTCCCTCTCAAAGACCAGGTCTGAGACACCAAATTGCTGTGACAACAATGCTCAAAAGTCATGAGAAGCTGGGCAGGAGCTGAGGAGAGTGGGAATTGCAAAGTTCAGTGGGAATGGAAGGACACGATTCATCCTTCTCTGCTGGGAAGAATCAGCCTCCTCCTGGAGAACAGGAATATTGCAAGGGTTTGATGAAGGAAAAGCCTGAGGGATGAGAGCCTCCCACAGCTGGGTTTTGCTGGGAGCCAGTCTCTGCCTTTCATTCTTCTTTAATATCAATAAAGGTGGAGGTTTTGCAGGGAACAGGGGGACTCAGCACTGCAGTTGGAGCAGCGTGGGAGGGGGAGGGAAGGCAGAACCAACAGGCTTTGGTTTGCCTGGCTCCCTACATGAGCTCTGTGGAAGCTTCAAGGAGCATATGAGATCAATTTTGAGCTCATGGGCTCAGTTTTAAACTCACAGTAGTTTCAACATTGCTGTCACAGGTTCATCTGGGGCTTTTAACTCTGTATTTCAGAGAGAAAAACTGGATGTGGCTTCAGCTAGGCAGGACAGGACCTGCCTGCAAGCCAAGGACCAGACTTACTGTCTGATTGGTGAACCAAAAAAACCCCAAACCCTCACAAAGAGCCCAAACAACCCCATCATCCTCTTATTCACCTCAAAAACAGAGAGAGTGGCTGACTGTGCACGTAATGCTGGAGCTTGTAGAGGCCTGGAGAAGTTCAGTTGCTGAAAGCAATTTTTGATCATTTTTGCTTGGTTTTGATGGACTTTGCCCTGCCAGGAGTCCCAAAGTCAGGGCTGGCAGTCACAGCTGGTGCAGAGGAGTGGGGAGATCCTTTCCCTTCCTCCTCCAGGCCTCCAAAGCCCAAATGATGCTCAACCACCCCAAACCCAAAACCCACCAGCTCAGGGAAGAAGCTCCAGGAGCTCTGTCCTTGTGCCAGGCACTCAAAACAACTCAAGAAATAATTTTTGTTGTAAAACAAGCCGGGGGCACGGTGTGGTTTGTGAATCAGAGGCGTCTCTTGAAGAGCTGCTTCTTTTGGGTTGGTTTGTAGGGAATAAAGGCTCCTCACCTCTCCCATGACAGCAATTGGGGTCTCCCCTGTAGCCTGGGCCACACGGTGCTCCACCAGGTAGAACATGTACTCGTCGTAGAGCAGGCGGATGAGGTGGAAGGAGCCAAAGCTGGCGGCGCTGCGCAGGGTGAGGTCACGGATCACCATGGAGCTGGGAATGGACAGGAAACAGAAATTTGGGTCGAGTTTTACACCTGGATGATGTGAGTTCTGGACGCTGGAGGGACTGTGGAACTCAACATTGTCTCTGCCTCTGACCCAAAAGTATCAAAACACTTTTAAGTAATTCATTTATGGAGCGTCCTATCCCCATCCTGAAAGGAGAGCAGAACCACAGATAACCAGAGTTTCATGGGAGTAAAGAACTTGGCCTTGGCTTTTCAAGGAGTACTTTACATGCCCCAAGCCTGGTGCAGAAATATCCCCAAAATGAGAAAGAAAAGGTACCTGTAGAAGGACCACTTCAACAGGAACTGCCTGGCTGCCTTGGGGAAGCTGGGGCTGCCCTCGTGATGCTTCAGCACTTGAGTGACCACATTGTCCAGCCAGCTGGCCCACTGGTCCAGAGAGCTCTGCTGCTGCAGAGTCAGCTTGAAATCCTGCTCCAGCTTCTGTACCATGCCCTCCTCACACTGGCACACCCACGAGGCCTGCTCCTGCTCAGAGGAAGGGCTCACAGTTACTCATGCCATGATTCCCAACCCAGGAATTAATTTCTAACAGGCAATGGCTGCAAACCAGCTCTGAATCTGTCTGGACCACAGTATTTTTAGAACTACATAATTATTTGTAATAAAATAAAATATATTATTCTTCACTGGAAACATAATTCTTCACTGGAAAAGTGGTAAAGCATTGGAATGGGGTGCCCAGGGAAGTGGTAGAGTCATCACCTCTGAAGTGTTAAAAAAATAAGTGGATGTGGGGACATGGTTGAGTGGGCATGGTGGGGTTTAGCTGAAGGTTGGACTGGATGGTCTTGGAGGTCTTTTCCAGCCTTAATGATCTGTGAGTCTTACAGAAACTCCTTTTCCACTGCTCACAGTGAAGTAACAGCAAATGCATCACCTTGTTCATTCAGCTGGGATTGAACACTGCAGAGAACCTGGATATGAAGCCCCAGTGTGGAGCAGGTGAAGAGGTGAGGAGCCCTGCCCATGAGTTACCTGGTCACCATCAGAGAACCTGGCTGTGGAGCCCAGAGTGGAGGACAGAGGAGCCCTGGAGCCCAGAGTGGAGCAGAGGGGAGAACAGGAACCCCAGACTGGAGCAGAGGGGAGGAGAGGAGCCCTGCAGCCCCAGAGAGGAGCAGAGGGGAGGACAGGAGCCCCAGAATGGAGCAGAGAGGAGCCCTGGAGCCCAGAGTGGAGCAGAGGGGAGCCCTGGAGCCCAGAGGGGAGGACAGGAGCCCCTGGGTTACCTGCACGTTGGCGAAGTCCACACGGTTGAGGTCGCTGAGCATCTGGTTGATCTGGGACGTGTTCTGCAGCACGGCGCGCGCCGCCTGCGCCAGGTGGTTGAGGGACGTGTACCTGCGCAGGGTCTGGGCAAAGGCACTCACCACCCCCACCTGCAACACAGCACGGGGGGGCTGCAGGGCATGCTCTGCTCCCTGCCCAGCCCTTCAAAACACTCGTGGAGGTGGCGCTTGGGGACACGGTTTAGTGGCGTTTGGGTGCCTTGCACAAGGAAATGTGTGACTGCTTGTACAGCTCTTGTCTCTCTGTTCTTGGGGCCAGAGCTCGGAGCAGTTTTCCCTCAAATCCACACTCTTGGTGCTTGGCCTGCCTTCCCCTCTTCCCTTTTTTAACTTCACTGCCTCTCACATCCCCCTGCTCATGTGGGAACTGAGGTAGTCCTGGGGTAGTGGTTGGACTCAAATCATCTTAAAGGTCATTTCCAACCCAATCCTTGTGCCAGGCACTTGGAACAACTCTGTCAATCCTTGGGCACAGGTGGTGGTAAAACATACTGAGGGCACAGTGTGGTTTGTGAACCAATGGTGTCTCTTTAGGTGCTGCTCAGTTTGGGTTGGTTTGTAGGGAATAAAGGATTCTGACCTCTCTCATTACATCTCCCTGGTTGCCTGGGCCACAGAATGCTTTACCAGGTAGAACATGCACTCATCACAAAGCAGTGGAAGAACCCAAACCTAAACAATTCTGTGATTCCATTATTTATTATCTTTAAGCTACCAGGTTTTCACACTCTGCCTCCAGCAGAGACCAGTAAGGTGGGAAGAGGCAGCAAGAATCTCTGGCTTTAGGAGAGCAGGAGCAGGAGCCTTGGGCCAATGCCAGGGACTCCTGTGCTTTCCAGGACAGCCCCATTCCAGGGCAGAGAAAACAGGGAATGGTCCCGGCCCCGAGGCTGCCAGAGCTCCAGGAGAGTTTGGACAGCGCTCTCAGGGATGCTCAGGGTGGGATTGTTGGGGGGTCTGTGCAGGGACAGGGGCTGGATTTGATCCTTGTGGGTCCCTCCCAGCTCAGGATGTTCTGTTGCTCTATGATTTTCTCCCACAAAGCTTTATCTGCAACTTCAGGACACAGGAATGGCTCCATGGACAGAGCATCACCAGTTTCTGGTACCAAGGAACTGCCCCACCTGTGCTCCCACTCCTGGCTGATTTTGGTTCAGAATCAATCACTGCACCGTGCCAGGTGGCCAAACCCCAGCAGCAATTTCCAATCCCTGTGGAAAACAGCAAGATGCAGACACACACACACACACTGAGCCACACATCTCTGCTCACCTTGGTCTGCACGACCTGCGGGGGGAATTCACTCATGGCATTCATCAGCCACCCCTCCAAACTCTTGGCAAAGTTCCGGATGGCCTGTGTCAGTGTGCCTGCAAAGAAGGCTGCAAGGTCACAAAAGCTGCTCTGTAGCACTTTTGGGTGCCACTTCCTAGCTCAGGACTGCTGGGAAAGCACAGCCTGTGGGCTGGTTAGCTGAGGTGTCAACTCAGCACCAAGGAAATCAGCTGGGTTGATGCACCCAAATTATTCTTTGATGTTATTACTCAAACTCTTCTTCTTAGTCTTACTCTTACTCTTATTCTCATTCTTATTCTTATTCTCATTCTCATTCTTATTCTTATTCTTATTCTTATTCTTATTCTTATTCTTATTCTTATTCTTATTCTTATTCTCATTCTTATTTTTTAATCCTTATTCGTACTCTTACTCTTATGACAATTGGACTTCATGATCTTAGAGGTCTTTTCCAACCTACACATTTCTATGGTTTTTAAATTATTCGTATTTCTTTCATCCTTTTCTTATTCATGGCCCTTCTGAGCATTTTTCAAGCATTGAAATTCACTCTTCAAAGACACCCTTGTGTCTCAGCTTGTGAGAGCCCTCAGAGGGACATTTGGGAATCCAAATCAGAGAGAAAACCCTCAATACCCCATCATTAATTTCTCATCATTAATCTCCCAAAAAGTTGACCCCTGATTTCCAGGAGTGCAGTCAGGGACAGGGCACAGGATGGTCCTGTGCAAACAAAGACCTCTAAGGAACCACATCTCAAAGAGTCCCATGTTCAAATTTTGTTTTTCACCTGACTCCTGGCCCAAAACCAGGAGATGTGATATGCAACACACCAAATTTAAAAGGGAGGAGAATTCTCCCTTTTAATTCTCCCTTTTCTCAGGGGGTACAAAATATCCCCCCAGAGCAATGTGCAGGGGGAGCTCTGCTCTTGCCATTATATTTCAGCCAAGACAAACACCTCCAAGTGGGTTTTTAGAGTGGAAATCTTTGTGGCAAGTGGCAGCCAGAGTGAGATCAGACTCAGGATGGGGCTGTGGGCACTCACTGGGCACTGGCCTGAGCACGTCAGGGATCAGGATCTCCACCAGGGCCTGGTACAGGATGTGGTCACAGCTCCTCATCCACTTGAGGATGGGCTCATACTTGCACAGGGTGATCAGTTTGTCCTTTGGGAGGGTCCCCTCGGGTTCCTCTTCACTGCAGGAGGAGGAGGAAGGAGACAGAGTTAGCAGCAGGTTTGCATTCAGTGATTTCCCCCTCCCTCTGCATTTCTAATTTTTAGCAGAAAAAAATGTTTGTGTGCCCTGCACAAGGAAATGTGTGACTGCTTGTACAGCTCTTGTCTCTGCCCTGTCCTTGGGGCCAGAGCTGGGAGAGTTTTCCCTCAAATCCACACTCCTGGTGCTTGTCCTGCCTTCCCCTCTTCCTTTTTTTAACTTCACTGCCTCTCACATCCCCCTGTTCCTGTGGGAACTGAGCTCCAGCACAGTCATTTCAGCCAGCAAAGGCTCAGCTGGTTCCTCCTTGCAGCCCCAGCTATTCCCAAAACCTTCCCACCCCTCTCCTCCCTCCTCTGCTCTCAACCTCCAGAGCCACAGCACGGGGACAAAACCTGCAGCCAATGTAGGGCAGATTAACTGAGACTGAGATGTTTTCAAGGTGTTGAACACCTCCAAATGCTGGATGTGTTCAGAAGGAAGGAGACTGAATGTTTGGAGGAGAACAGAACATATTGTCTGTAACTGACTGAGGTCAATCCAGATTTCATTATTTTCACTTTGTAGATGTATAAAGGCACAAGATATTTGTTACACAGCAAGCAGAAAGAGCTGAAACCTGAATTCCCTGCCAGAGCATCACAGCAGAGCTGCTCACCCACACATTACACCAGGAACTGGAAATTTGGAAGGGTCTTTCTCCATGCATTACATCAAAATCATTAAAGCCAAGCCTTGGACATGCCCTAAAGGGGAACTTGGAGCCTCAGCCTGCAGGATTTTAGTGGTGAACTCCATGGGCATAACTCCTGGAAAATCCCACATGGAGAAACAGCTCATGAAACTTGCTGTGAAGTGCATCCATGTTCTGCATCTTCTCATGCTTTCAGTGTGCCACTTCCCTAATGTTTGGGATTTATATTTATATCTGTATTTATATTTATATATTAAGAAGGGGAGGGAGTGTGTTATTCACTTCTCTGGGTTACTGGCAGAGGTGGGAGAGGTGGGAGAGCCCTGCACCAAAGCTGCCTCCAGTTTCTCCTGGGGTGTTGCAATCTGCCTGGGAGCTGTTTCCTCAAGAAAATGAGATTTTAAACCAAGCAAACACAGCTGCAGTGATTCCATGCAGGAAAATATCCCCTGGGCAACATCTACAGGGCCATATTCTACAGATTTTTGAGGGATTTTTGCTTATTACTCAATGTTTTACCATTTTTCTTCTGAATAGAAAACTTTTGTCTTTATAGCATCAGTGAGTGGACAGATTTGTGATAGAAATTTTAAGAAGAAACCTTCACTTTTTCAATTTTCTCTGTTTTCACTTATTTCCATTCCCCTGGCAGCAGCTCCCAATGCATAAAGGATGAGGAAGAGGCACAGCAACGAGCCAGGCAGGAGTGAAAAGATTAAAGCAGCTTTGTTTGCAATGATCTGCCTCAAAACACGAGGCACTGACAGGTCTGGGCAGCCAGGAAAGGCAGAGAGTCAGTCTGGATATCCCTAAAAGCTCAGAGAGTCCCTAAAATCTGAGCCAGAGGATGGCACTGATTGCTGGCAGGGAATCATCACTGTGTGCTCCTGAGCACTTGGGGAAGCAGGATCCCCTCCTTTGCTGCAGGAGGTGAAGGGACACGAATGTCCAACCTCAGGATGAGAGGAAACGGCCTCAAGTCACCCCAGGGGAGTTCAGACTGGATATGAGGGAAAATTTCTTCACTGAATGAGTGGTCAGGCATTGGAACAGGCTGTGCAGGACAGTGGTGGAGTCACTATCCCTGCAAGTGTCCAAAAATCCTCGGGGATGTGGCAGAGTGGTGAGCAGGGCAGTGCTGGGTGGATGGATGGACCTGATGATCCTGGAGGGATTTTCCAACCTCAGTGACCCCACAATTCTCCAGTCAGAGCAGGCCCTTTCCCAGAGCTCTGAACTTTGCATTATTAAACACTTCCAATGCTCTTTGTCACGGCTCTGCAGGGCAGAAAATACTCCCAAATTCTCCAAAGCACTCAAAAAGCCTAAAAACACTCCATGCAGCTTAAAAAGCAATCTATCAGCAAGAAATGGAGCAGGGAAGGCTGGGGAGTACCTGGAAGGCAGAGCAGTGGGGCCATCACTAGGGGGTGCCTTGGGACTCCAGAAGGATTGCCACAGCTTCTCGATGTAGTGGAACTGGAGATTCATCACCACATCCAAAGTGGCCTGACAGCAAAGAACACCACGGGGTCAGCACTCAGCTCAGTGCTGCCACTCACAGTAAATAATTTACATGAAAAACTACGGAATTGGCACAGTTTTAGTAACCAACCTAACAAGGTCACATGATGAAAAAAATCCACATAAAGCACAATATCTGAGCTGTAATTCCTGGCAAATGAAGCATTCCCGATTAAATTTCAGCTTTTCCTAAGAGTGGGATATGAGCTGGTCACATGAATGATGCCCCACATCAGTTAATAAATCAATTACAAATAATCCCCAGAGAATATTGCAAACAATCACCTCACAGTGTCTCCTGTAGAGAACCTGCAGAGTTTTCACATCGTTCAAGGTGAACCCTTCTTGTAAGAGGACATTGCCAAGATCAGGGGCTGGGAACTCAGGAAAGACATGGGTTACATCTGGGAAAAGAAATTGGGAAAGATGCTGAGGGTTAGGAAAGCTCAGAGTACAGGTGAGCACAAGGTGCTGCTGTCACTGGAGACTCTTTCATGTTCCAGCTGGGATGAGACAGGAAAAATGAGATCATTGAGTCCTTCCCTGATTAGAGCTGGTATATTGAGAAAAAGCAAACAAACACAGCCCAGTGGATTCAGTGGGGAAAGGAAAATGTTTCCTTTCTGTTTGTAATAAAAGAAACAAGAAAATATTATCCTCATCTACCATCCATCAGAAATTCCCCAAAGCCTGGAAAATGCCACTCTGGTATTTAAGGAGTACAATGGGGAATAGAATTGGGCAGCAGAGGTGTCAGGAGCTGGGATTTGTGATGGAGACACACAGATCCAGGACCAGCAAATGCACAGGTTCCACAAGGAGAAGGTCAGGATGGATCATCTCCCTCAGATCCCATTGCAGCCTTTGCAAGGAAGGGAATTGCTTCCCCCCCATCTTCCAGGACCTCCACTCTTCCACGGAATTTAGATAAAACCAGATGGATTAAAAACTTACTATGAGAGACCCAACAGCCCTGTGGGCTCAAGGAAAAAGGGAGACAGGAGTCAGCAGATAAACGGAGCCAGTGTGACACTACAAACCCCTATAGAACACATGCTGTATATCAAATATATATCTGAACAAAACCAAAACGCTGCAGATTTATTAGGAAAGCACACAAATGCACAGCAGTCAGGATTTGCTGGATAAAACCTTCCCCTTAAAGGCCAAATCCCAGCTGTGGAATAATTCATCACCCAAGGAGTCTCCTCACCTATGAACTGCTGGTGGTGCTGGCTCTGGGCAGCCACCGACTGCTCGGGCGTGGTGTGGGGGTTGCTGTTGGATGCACTCTCTGCCATCCCATCCATCTTCTGGGCTGCTCTGTACCTAAACCCCACCAGAATCACGATGGATTAGGGTCCACACAGACAGGGGAAAACACCTACACAACATTTATTTGTAATTTCCAACACACATCTGTGAGTTCGTGGAATGGTTGGTACATTCAAGGCAAACACGTTGAGGGCTGATCATTTATATTGTGGACTCAAATGGAGGGGAAATGAGAAGCTCCTTTTGGAAAGCTTCCCCAAGACAGGAAAAAAGGGGCTAAGAAGTTTGGTGACACCAAAAAACCAAAAAGGAGAAGCAGAGCTACAGTGGGTTCCAGAGCAGGCTCTGTCTCAAGCACTGAGTTTTGCATTTACTTTCTGTTTGGGAGCTGGAGAAATAAATTCTGCTCCTTCTGCACTTCAGCAACAACCAGAAGTGCTCATGCTTGCAGGAGGCAATTCCAAATCCTTTTCCACACAGGGAAATTACTTTAAAATCTTTAAAATTACTCAGGCACAAGACTAAGCATGGCACTATTTAACTTAAACTTTTACACAGAAAAACACCCAAAACCCCAAAATCCACCCAAAAGCAGCACAAGCCCCCGGGTCCTTCACACTGATTTGGCACAAACATCTCCACAGCTGAGATCCTAAACCATTCCGGCTACAGGGAGGCTGTGAAAGGTGGCACACGAGGTGGAACATGCCACTGGCAAGGAGAACAGGCAGATAAACCCCATTCCATGGAATTTCAGAAGGCTTTGGGTTGGAAAAGTCCTTTAAAGGCCATCTGGTCCAACCCCCTGCAGTGAGCAGGGACCTCTTCCACCCAAACAAGTTGCTCCAACTCTCATCCAGCTTAGCCTTGAATATTTCCAGGGATGGGGCATTACCTGGGATAGGTTTTGGCTCTTCAGCATCACCTGGTTTGAACTTCCCAAGCAGAGCCAAATCCCAGGGACCTGCTGAGGATTTTGGGCAGGGCCTGGAGCACCTACCTTTGCTTCTGGTGGAGGGGCTGCTGCCTCATGGCCATGTACTGGGTGTCCTCCTGCAGGCGGTTCAGCGGCGACTCCGGCTTCAGGCGGATCCCATAGTAGTGATATTTGGAATTTCCCCTGCAAAGATCAATCAGTCAGTGCAAGGGGCATTGTGGCCCTGGCTGCTTGCACCCCATTTTTGCCAAGCAGTGTTTGTGTGGCTGAAGGGATGAACTCCTGAAATGCCATCATCCCCTAGAAAATTTCAACCCACGCGTGGCCAAGTGCAGTGGGATCCACACTTAAACCTGGCCAGGTTTGTTCCAAGCAACCCATGGTGACTGGGGAAGAGAGGAGGGAAGTGCTACAATAAAAAGTGTTATTAAACAGTGATTGAAAGACCATAGGGGATACTTTGCTATTTGATTAGGGTTTAGGGATTTGTTTTTTTCCATAAAAACAAGCATCCATTTTTATCTAGACTTGGATAAAACGAGCCTGACTGAGTGGCCCACTATGAAAAGAAAAATGTCTTTCTATTGCCAGCACTTCTGCAGCAACAGCACCAGGCTTTGATGTGGTTTTGTCCCTGGAGCTGCTCATTTTTGTAAGTTTTGTAAATACTGAAAGCCTTTTCCAAGCACAGGGGAATTCCTTCTCCTTTGCTGCTGTGGTGCTCCTTAGGAGGACGTTGGAGAGAGATTTGTCAGCTGAAGTTTTCCCACCAAACTGGAATTTTTTGGTCCCCGTGGGAGTGAGGACAGATCTGCAGCCATGGACACGTGGTGACAGAGTGTCCAACTCGGCCTCAGCCCATTTGTCACCATAAATGGGTGAATTGAGTCCCCAGAGCGAGAAGAGACCAAGCCAGGGAATCACCAACAGCATCTCCAGAGCACAGAGTAGGGAGACTTAAAATTCCTTTGCTATGTCACTAAAAGTGGGACTGGAGGCACTTTAAATCCAGGCATGATTCTCACTGGAAAATTAGAGCAACATGAGACAGGACTATTTATCAAATTGGGTTCTTTTTATGGGGGAAGTTGCTCTTTTCAAGGGCCCAGTTGAATTGCTGGGTCTTTGTCACTGCACCAAAGGGTTTTACACACACCCCTGTTCAGCCCTGTCCTAAATGACTGAAGTGCCTGCAAATTAAATAACAGCTGCCTTTATAACCTAAAATTACAATGAGTAAGAAAATAATGGGGGTCAGCTCTTGGTCAGAATTGAGGTTCACTGTCCCCTTCCCAGCCTGCACATTTCAAATTCCCAGTGGGTTTTTTTGGCTCACTTGTTTATTCTTTAATCCATGATGGGATTAGAGAATTTCTATCCTCCAAAGAAATTACTTCAGAGCTCTTGCATTTGACCCAATCTAGAGAAATCCAATGCTCCCCTGCTCTTCCTACAACTGTCACCTCCACGTTCCAGCTGTGGAATGCCCTGGTCACATCTGGTTTTATTCTCATTGAAAAGCCCAGATATTTAAGCTTGAATTTTATTATAAAATCTTCAACAATCAGAGCAATGACTGTTTAACAGGCAATATATTATCCACTTTTAAAATATTATAAGCTGGGATAAAGTTGACACTCAGCTGTGCAGAAGCTTTGGATGCTCCCTGAAGGACATGTCTGTAATTACAGGAGTTTATTTTCTCATGTTACACTTTTTTTGTAACATCTTACAGATCTTTGATGGTTTAGAAGAAAAAAAAACCCTCTTGCAAGATTCAGCCTGATGTTTTGGGTATTTCAGAAATAAACCATTTATAACTCTACAACTTGTGTGCACCAAAGGTGTGGGCACTGGGTCTGTCATGGGGATCTTTACTGGACCCAAAGGGAGAAAAGGCTTTGGTGACCCAGAACTTTGGGCTCTGCAGAGGAAATTGTGAGGATGAGTTACCTCATCTTTGTCAGACAAGACAGAATCCCAGAAAATCCTGATGGAAGGGACCACAAGGATCAGTGAGGCCCTGCACAGACCCCCCAACAATCCCACCCTGAGCATCCCTGAGAGCGCTGTCCAAACGCTCCTGGAGCTCTGGCAGCCTTGGGGCCGGGACCATTCCCTGGGGAGCCTGGGCAGTGCCCAGCACCCTCGGGGGGAAGAACCTTTCCCTGAGCTCCATGCCAAGCCCTGGCACAGCTCCAGCTGTCCCCTGGGGTAACGAGATCCTCATGGGATGAGAAGCAGTTTCAGTTCCCATAAAAAACATTTCAGGGTCGGTTATTTCTGCACACCACAGAAGAGAAACACCCGAACCTACAGATGCTCAGGAGCTTCTGAGTGCACCAGAGACGCTGCAGGGGGGTTGCTTTGTGCTCACTGAAGCTCAGATTCCCACCAACCTGGTGCCCAGGCGCCGGGTCCTCAGCCCCATGAAGACGGAGCGGATGAGTTTCCCGAAGGACGCGGCGTTGACGGGGTCCAGTTTGTGCTCCTGGCAGTGCCGCAGGTAATGGTTGTACAGGGAGCTCCTGGGCAGGCTCACACCTTCTGCTGTCTCGTAGTTATCCAGCAGCCACTGCAGCTTCAGGCAGGGAAAAATAAACAACATGCAAGTCTAAAGAGGGCTGGGATGTCAGAGGGGTGGGAGCTTCAACATCCGGATCGAGAGGACGGAATAATTAATTTATATGAGTTAATTCACATCGCTTATAATATACAATTACATTTGAGATATTATTATCATATATAAAAAATATTATAATGGATATCATTTCTGTTAGTTTACAAGATGGCAAAAGCACTCCCAGCCCGAACAAAACCAGTCAGATTTTTCATTAAAACACAGTCCTGCTGTCACCTCAGTGTCCACCTCGGGTTGGGATGAGTTCCTGCAGAGCCAAAATAAAGCTGTAAAAACCTGCATTTTCCAAGGAAAAGAGATCTTGAGATACTGCCTAAGAAAAAATAATTTTAGGGGAAGCAAATTGATGCAAAGCCTTTATTAATTGGAAGATTGGCATGTCTGCAACAGCTCCCTTAACAATAAAATTAATGGTTGCCAAAGCAACCTTCAAAATCTGAGGGAACCCATCTACTTTGCAAAATTTACTGTCTGAACTTCTGACATGGCTGTTGATTAAAATTTGCAATTAATATAAATTATTTATACCGAGATAGTCTGAAAGGGCAGGTCCAGCACACGGTGTCAGCACAGGAATTCAAATGCAAAGCCCTCAATTTCCTTTAATTGACTAAATGACTTCAGCATCAATGAAATGAGTGTTGTAATAATTGAATTTTGGGAGGAACTGGACAGGGTGGGTAAGAGCCCTCTCACTGCCAGGAGGGATGGCTGGGATTAACATTTTCCAGGCTTCCCTCTCCCCCCAGATCTCCATCCCTGCACCACAACCAGCTGCATTCCCACCAGATCAGGGCACAACAGACTTGGGCTGTGGATGCCAAATATCAGCCACAGCATCTCCACACAACTGAGAGTCTTAGGTAAAAATGGGAACTGAGCATGGGTTTAGTTTAGAAATCATTGGGATCTGACAAAGCCCATGGATCTGCACTCAAACCCTCTCCACTCCCAGTATCCTTCTCTTTTCTCTCATTTTCTCTTGGGACACTCCAAGGTCCCAATTCACCACAAGGCTGGAGTTTTACACCAAGAATTCTTTGAAAGACAACCTGAGCTGTGTGTGACATCTCTGGCACCTCACTCCACTGAGCTGTTTCCAGTTCTTGTGTTTCATGTCCCACTCTGCTCTCACACAGAGGCACCCTCAGGGTGTTCTGTGGGTCTCCTTCACACATCCAAATTTAAACTGCTGCTACACAAAGTCAGCTGGATCCAAAACCAGGCACTTTCAGCTCTACAATTAAAATTATTCCGTTCAGTTGGAGAGGAGAAGGATCCAGGGAGAACTCAGAGCCCTTCCAGAGACTAAAGGGAGAGCTGGAGAGAGACTGGGGACAAGGGATGGAGGGACAGGACACAGGGAATGGCTCCCACTGCCAGAGGACAGGGCTGGATGGGATATTGGGCAGGAATTGTTCCCTGGCAGGGTGGGCAGGGCTGGCACAGGGTGCCCAGAGCAGCTGTGGCTGCCCCTGGATCCCTGGCAGTGTCCCAGGCCAGGTTGGACATTGGGATTGGAGCAGCCTGGGACAGTGGAAGGTGTCCCTGCCATGGCAGGGGTGGCACTGGATGGATTTTAAGGTTCTTCCACCCAAACCATTCCAGGATTTGTCAGCTGGAGCTGATCCAAATCCAACCACGAATTCCCATGACTGCACCATCAGCTCTGGTGCCTTTGGAGCAGAGCAGGAGCTGCCACAGCTGCAGGAACAAAAACCTCCTGGCCACGTTTCCCTCTGTCCTCCTCAGGAACCTCTCCTGCCACCTTCTCCCATTCCACAGCACCCAAGACACTTTTTGAGGTGATTTCCCACAGACAAAGATAATTTCCAACCCCCCAATTCCAAGAAATGATTTGTTAATGACCCCTCATGACCCTTCCTGCTCCCATCTGCAGCACAGACACCCCTGGAAGCCCCAAAAAAATCTTTCTGTGGCCCTGAGCCTCCCCCAGCCATTCAGTTCCCTCTAACCACCCAGTGGTTTTGCCATAAAACACCAGCAGGAATTCAGTTTTTTAGGTTGTCCACATCTATGTTAATTTTGGCCCAACCCCTATATTTAAAAGATTATTGCTTAAGATCCTTTCAATTTTTTAAACCAGGTATTTTATTTATCCTATGGAAGATACTGAATGTGCATCAGCTATTTATCTCCTAAATCTTAAGCCTTAAGCCTTAAAAAAAAATATAAAAGTTTTGTATTACTATGGAAAATTCAGATACAGATAAACCCTCTCATTTAAATTTGATCCTGGGCATTTTTATTCTAATCCCTGATATTTCTAGAAGATTCCCTGCCTCTCTGAGCTTCCTCTTCCTGCAAATGTCTTTTTATATTCCCTTAAACATTGCAGAGTTTCACAATATGAACTCCCACTATTGAATTAGAAATTTATTATGAAGCATACAAAAGAGCTTGAAACAGAGATCAGTCAGAATATAAATAATTTTCCAAACGTGATTTTTTCTCTTCCTGAACAACTAATAACACACTGGGCATTTAAAACGAGAAAATTAAAAACTCTTTCCATTTGAATCTCTTATTCTGTTTGCTTTCTGAATTTTGTTCAGTTGTGGCAATCAGATATTCCCCATTTTATTTCTGTTTATGCCATGATCAGGTCCCAATAAAATCAATCTACAGCCATGTGCTGCTGTGGTTGTTACAGGCACTACAGGGGAACATTTAATTTTCATTTCTTCCTTAACTTTATTTCTATCTGACTGTTTGGTTTCCTTTGAAAAAAACACTGGCAAAAACCTCATCCTGGTTCTATCCAAAGGTGGAAAAAACCATTCTTGGGGCTGGCTGAGAAAATAAAAACTTTTTTTTTGCAGGTCTAGGTTTGGAGAAGTTTTATTGTGGCCACTTCTACAAAACATAAAAACCAGAAACCATTTGTGGGTCATATTTAAGGTGTTTTTAGCTGGGACCACGAGCAGCAGGTTCCTAAATTTCCACTCAGAGTTAGGGCAGAACCATTCACTCACAGGAAAGAATTCCAGTGGGAATTATTTTGTGGGTTTTGGGATTTCATTTTGCAGACAATGAGGAAAAATTACATTTTCTCCCTGCTCTTACTTGTGCTGTGGATATCCCAGAGCCACAGGGCCTCAACTCCTCCAACTTCAGGCTCTTGTGTACAAAAATTGCAGTTATTTTGCTCTGATTTCTTTGCATCATCTGCAAGTTCCTAAGTGGCAAAGAAATAATCCCCTGGCCCAGGGTCTGTGCCACTGCAGTCTCACATTGAGATGATTTCCTCAGAACCATCCTGTGTCACTGGGGCTCAGCAGGAGCTTCACCAGATTCCAAATGCACTTAAACAACCTCTCAGGGAGGTTTTGAAGCCAAATTCAGTTATCAAGCTCCATTTCATATTGATTTTAGTTAAATTATGTGACAAATTCCCTCTGGACTGAGATACCTTTAATTGTCCTCTTATTTATTTTTTTTTAACCCCAAAGGTTCCTGGCATGAAACATCTGCTGATGGTAACAAAATAAACCCCATTATGCCAAGAACTTGCACGTTTCCAAAATGCCAAATTTCAAACAAGGGAGAGAAGAACAATGAAGAACTCTGCAACCTTAAGACTCAGAGCAATTAAGTCACAACTAAGTGCAATTAGCATCATCTCCCCATTTCCTCTTGCTTTTGTCAAGCTGGAATTTGCTTTCAGCCTTGACAAAGTGCAGCCACCTGCTGCTTCCCTGTCTGCTCCTCCAGCAGTGCTGTGAGCCAGCCATGGGCAATTTGGGATGGGTCATGCTCCCCCTGCTCTTGGGCTTTTGTTCTTTGCCATGAAGAGGAAGGAACTGGAGCATCCTGGAGAGCAGGAACTGGGCAAGGTTCAGCACTGGTGGTCACTGGGATGTCCCACACCTGCACTGGGAGCCTGCTCTGCAGTGTCCATCCCTGGAGCATCCAAGGCTGGGCTGGACAGAGCTCTGAGCACTCTGGAAGGTGTCCCTGCAGTTAAATGAGCTTTAAGGTCCTGTCCAACCCAAACCATCCTGGTCCAGCTCCCTGCTCAAACCAGGGCACATTTCCATGGGCTCAGGTCCCTCACTCCTAGAAGAGCCTCCCTGGGCAATGGCACTGCAGCTCCTCCAGCTCTGGAGCTGCCTGAGCTGGTTCCCCATGTGCTGTGTCCCCCTCAGGCACTGCTCATCCCTCTTTTTATTCCCAGACACCTCCCTGTGCCCTGCGAGGGCTGAGCAGGGACACTGGGGACAGCAAGGACCCTGTGAGGTTCCTCAGCTCAGGCTCTGTGCCCTGCCAGGGGAATGACCTGACCCAGCCCAGCCCTGGTGAGGTGTCACACGTGCTCAGGGAGGAGATTTTGTTTGCCCCAGAGTTTGTGAGAGCACTTAAACCTTAGACCAGACTGTGAACCACGACCTAGAAGCAGGGACATCAAGTTCTGCACTTCTCCCCTGCAAGACAAGGGTGGGGAAGGCCCCCACTCCATCCTGCACAGCTCGTGGTCAGTGAAATCTCTTTTCTACCTTTTGCTTTCTTTCCTCTGCCCTTTTCCTGATTTTTTTTCCAAACCATGTCCACGATGAACAAGAAAAATCCTGCACAGCAACACAATCCCTGTGCAGCACTTCAGGAGTGTGGGCCTGGCACAGCCTGGGCTGGGAGGGATGCAGGAGATGCTCAGAACAGGGACCTGATCCTGCAGGTTTGTGTTTCCCCAACTACAACCACAAATCTTCCCTCTCCACCAGCTGAAATAAGAACTGAGCTCCCCCAGGAGCCCTGGCCTGGAGTTTGAGATCAGCTGAAGGAATCAGACTGGTTTAAAGTTCCTTTTGTTGTCTCAGGCTATTTATCTGTGATGAAAAAGCCAAAGATTTTGTTTTTGCAGGCCCTAAGAATGACAAGAAACCAGCCCCCAGACACAGAGGAAATCTGTTAGAACAGAGCAGCACCACTTTGTGCACGGGGATTTATGGGTGCAGGACGTGACTGAGCTTAATCCAAACACAGGGAAACCAAGGCAAGTCCAGGGACTCCAGCATGGCCTGGATCAACCCAAATGTCACCCAAGCACGTGCTCACCCCTCAGTGTTCCTGCTTGGGAGCCACAAGCCAAGATGCAAAGGCCCAGCAGGACAGAGGGAATATCACACAAAGCAGGGAAATCGTTGCAGAGTACAGAGAGAGAGGCCCAGCACATGGATTTAGCACAGCATTGTGACAGGAATGGGCTTCCTGAGGCACAGAGAGAGGAAAAAAAAAGGCATTCACAGGCTTTTGGTGTGTGCTGGCTGAGGGGAATCTGTCACAATTCACACTGAGCCATGGCTGTGGATTTACAAGTAATTTTCCAGCCATTTTTCAGTTCCAGTGAAAGGAAAAGAACTTCCTCAAATGTGTTTATCTGATTGCCAGCAATTTCCATTGCAAGGCAGATGAAATAAATAAACACAGGGCAGAGGCAGTTAACAGACTCCTGAGCATCTCAGCAGCAAATATTCTCATATGGAACTTTTTGCAGACTCTTTTTCCCTGGGAATGGGCAGTTTTGGGCAGCACAGCTCAATCACAGGCTGCTTTTGAGTGACTCTTGCTGTTGAATACACCAAAGAAATAATTCTCCCACCAAAGCAGGGGAAAAGGTTGTAAATTCTGATTGTAACTTACATGGCTGTTGAGCAAACTGCTTTTGTGTGATGTAATCCCTTCATTTTTTTGTAGGTTTTCAATCGCCATTTCAAGCTAAAGAAAAATGTGCACAGGAGAGAAAAAAAAAAAAAAAAGGAGAAAGAAAGGAAATCAGATAGTTAGCAACAGCCAGGATTATTGTTTCTTTATTAATATTTGAATGATTAATGCTTTATATCAACAGGCTTGTGAAAAAGAGGCAAACAGATGAGCACAGTGGGTGTGGATGGAGCTGCAGAGGCGTTACTGGGACATGCAAATGGACACAGCAGGAATCCCCACGGGGGTGACAAAGCCAGGCCAGGGGGGGTTTATCTTCCCCTAAAAGTGCTGCCTATTTATTAAAAAAAAGCGATTTTCCTCCTCTTTTTCCCAAACCACTGCCAGGCAGATTCTCTGTAGGGTCAGAGATTGGCTGCAGAGCTGTACCCAAGGAGAGCTGGCAGTAATGATTTGGTTACTGTCACCTCTTCATATTTCGTCAAAAAACCAAAAAAATATTAAATAAAACTGGGGTGCAAGGAGAGTGGATGAACTGGAATGGATAAGGGCTGTGTGATGCTGAGAACTGCAAAGGGAAGAAGGGAGGAGCCAGGTTTCAGGTGAGTTCTCCCCAGAAACCAGGGTGGAATGTTTGATGGTGCCTGTGCTCGTTTCTCTGGATCTCAGAGGAGCCAAGGTGAGGCTTCCTGGCTCCAGAGGAGCCCCTCACTCCCTGCCTGGCTCCTGTTCCACTCCAGCCCAGCTGTGGCTGCTGCCTTGTGCCTCAACCCTCTCCTGAACCCTTCTTGTCTTCTCCATTCTGCTGCTGGGGCAGAATCTGGGGAGCTCCTTGAGCAGATGGCTGCTGGTCCCAAAGCTCCAGTGCTCCTCTACAAGCTTTTTACAAGAAAAAAAAAAAACAAAAAACCCAAACCTCCCACAAGCCCACATTAGAGCCTGGCAGGAGCAGAACCGACTGTTTGTGTCCAGATGTTCCCAAACCCCGTTTTCTGTGCCCTGGCAGTGCAGCAGCACCCAGAGCTCTGCTGCCTCTGTCCCCAGGTAACGCCTCTGTGGGCACTCCCACATCTGCACATCATCTTCCGTGGCCTCCTGCCCACATTCACAGCCTGCACTGACTCAGCCCTCACTGGAGATTAAGGCAGATAAACCCAGCCCTCACAAAGCCAGGCTCTGTCACAGGAGGGTGGCAGAGCAGAAGAGATCAGCCCCAGCTCCTGAAGTGACACCCAGCAGGCACAGGGAAGGTGACACCACCTCCAGCACACCTCCCTTGGTTTCCACCCCAAAGTGGAACCACTTCTCGAGGTGTTCTCACCAAATTCAGGCTCGCATTAGTGGGGTTTCTGTGATGGACCACGAGGAACCAGAGCGTGAGTGCTGACACAGCCTTCAGGAAATGAGTCAGAGTTAGAGGGAAACCCAATTTCCTTCCTCTGCTCAGGGGCTGTTTGAGCACCAGCTCTGAGGCAAGCACAGAAACGCTGCCTGGCCTTTTGCTGCTGGCAGGTGTCCCATCCAAGAGGACACCTTGATCTGCAATAAAAAATATCACAGGGGAAAGACTAAAAGCTCGTAAGGAGCCCTGCAGGAAGGTGAAGAGCTCTGAGGACTCACTGATGGGAGTCTCAAGGATTTCCTCTCTTGGTCCAGACTCATTTAGGTGAAGATTAATAGTGCTGTGCTGGCACAGATATTGAGTGGGACTGTTCCCTGTGCTGCTTCAGCCCATGTGATGGAACAGAACTCTGGGATTCCAGCAGACAAGGAGGGGTTTTTTAAGAGGTTTCTCGAAGTCTGAAGATTTTTCTTCAGTGCACACACAGATTTACCAAACATCTCTCAACCTCCTGAGGCAGCTCTGACTGCTAATCCTGAAGTATTCCCTTGTTTCCATTCTCCTCTGCAGGTGCCCTCCTGGCTCTCGAGGTCTCTTCTCCAAGCCCTCACCACCTCCAGTCCCTGTCCTTCCCCACCACTGCCCACTCTCAATGTCCATCCCAAACACTTTGGCTTCCCTGGCTCCATCTGCACGAGCTCTGCTTTCCTTTCCTCCCACCAAGCTCCCAATCCTGCCCCACCACGTTCTGCCAGGACCACCAGAGCCCCTCTGGCCTCTTTGACACCAGCCTTTCCCAGAGTCTGTTCAGGCTGGACATTAAACAGAAAATGATGTTCCTGCCCATAGATCTGACCCAGTGCCTGCTCTCCTTAAGCCACCCATCCTTTCTGGTGGGTGCCCAGAGCAGCTGTGGCTGCCCCTGGATCCCTGAAGTGTCCAAGGCCATGGCTGGGGGTGGCACTGGATGAGCTTTAAGACCTCAGACCAAATGACTCCATGATCAAATGAAATTCCAAAATTCCAAGCAGTCAAGGCTCTGCTCCATCCCCCTCCGACCCTGGTCTGTGCTGGAAGGACTGAAATCCACACACAGATACAGCCCTGGACTGTGCCAGGCTCTTTCCCACCTTTTCCAGCCCTTCCTCAGATATTTTGTCTTAAAATGCCTTCAGAAAGTTCTTTCCTATATGCAACAGAGTGAATTTATCTTAGATGTATTTCCATAAAGGTTACTTTCTAAATTTTTTTTTAACAGCCTTATCTCATGTAATAACCACCAACTAAATCTGTTCATGGGATATTTCTACTGACATATTTTCCACTTGGGCTTTTATATTGTGCTTATCACCATGGAAATGAGAAAAACCCCAAACAGCAACAACAACAAAAAATCCCCCCAAAATCCAAGAGTACAGTTGTGCAGTTTTGTAAGATGCAGTCCCACACAGGTGATGCTTCCAAATAATAACTTTGAGCAAAAACCAAATGGCTCAGTGCTAATTTTTAACTATGAACAGTTAAAATACACAGACACACAATTCTCACCCAGAAATGATCCTCAGCATCTGTCATTTTGTCTTCCACCCAAACTAAGGACTTTTCCCCTATGCCTACCCAAGGTAAAGCACATTTACTCCAGGATCAAAGCAACTTTTCAAGGCACAAAGATTCAAAAAAACATAAAGTCTATATTCTAAAACCCAGTGGGAAAGGAAGTACAACTTAACAGGCCAGATTTACAAGATTCTCAGTAGCAACAGCTCCAGTTTTTCTCCCTAGTGATGCTGCTCACATTTTAAATTCTGGCTACATACCCTGAATTACACCTACATTGGTATTTATATTTATATAAGATGCATAAACACACAGAAGTCTGCAGGGGGAGGTGAGCAGTGTCCCAGGAAATGAGCTCCAAGCACTCCTGGCAGCTGCTTAGGGCTGGGAGATTCCCAAACCAAAGCCCTGGTGCTTCTTACTGCAAAAAGGCTGTTTTGGGTGAAGAGCTGTAAGCCCTCAGTCCCTCACAGCTGTGCTTCCAGCACCTGCCACCTCAGCTGGCAGCTGGAGGGACACGATATTAAAAAATCAGAACTTTAAACCATTTCTGTTTGATCAGTATTACCCCAAAAGACATTTTTTAAACACATGGCAAGGACAGAATACACAATGGTGTAGGAGATATACACAGACTTTTTGATCACTGTGCACTCAGCATGATCAGCTTGACATAACTTATCTGCTAATTATGCACTGGGTTAAGGAAAGATTTCTCAGGTCTCTTCAATATTTCAATATTTTGGGTAAGCATGTGTGAGATGTTTGACTTATTAGAAAACGTAAATAGAGACAAATCTTTAAAAGCCAAAATATTTTGCTTGGGGGGAAAAAAACCCCAAACCAAATCAAATGCTTTATTAATATTTGAATGATTAATGGCTTCTCTTCTGTGATGCTGCATAATTTCAATGATCTGCTGAGCGAGAGGGATGGTCCAAACACCAACTGAAAAACAAGTGTGGTACACCAGTGTCTATTCTCTCCCTTGCACCCATGGCATGTCACAGACAAATACAGTGATAATGACAGGTCAGATTTATTTTCTGAAGGCTTTTCAGTTCCCTTTGGAATCATTGCTGGCCCCTGAGCTGCAGTGCCTGCAGGGCTACATACCGTTGCTGGAGAGGAGCGTGAGGTGTGAGACAGAGAATGTCTAGAGTTCTCCAGCCCCCCATGAATGAGATAGGCTCCCGAGCCGGAGAGGATCTGACTTCCCCCAATGTCCATGGTGATGCCCACCATGTTGTGAGAGGGAATGGCTGTAGGAGAGGATGCCGCTGTAGTCACCTGAGCTCCTCCTCCACCTCCTCCTCCTCCTCCTCCTCCCTGCGCTTCGAAATAGGGCGTGGCGCCGGCGGGGGCGTAAATCTGCGCCTCGCTGCTGTACGAGTAGGCAGCTCGTCTGTGCAGGGGACACAAAGGGACATGGAGAGCAGCTGGCAGAGGGAACCCCATGCTTGACTCTGGCGGTGTGTTTCTTGTTAATGGTGTGTTGTGTTATTGCCCGAGCTAATGGTTTAGTTCAAAGTGATACCCACCCACCCACCTTGTCAATCCGTCCTGAATTACCTGTCAATCCTGCTTTGAATTCCCCTTTGGAAATCTCCTGAAACTCGAGGTCTCATTAGTCCATGTGACTCAGTTTCCCCCCCAACCCCCCCAATGGAAAAAGCCCTTGGGAAACCCAACCCTTAACCCCCCCCAAAAATTCCCCCAATTTGCTGAGAATTTGTACCTTCCCCTTGAACCTCCCCCATATTTAAGCTGTTGTACCTTTGCCACTTTTGTCTTTTGCCCCACGGATTCCTCAAAGTAATAAATCCCTTTTATCCTATGCAAAAGACCTCCCCCTCCTCCCTTGCCTCCTTCAAACACAATCTGGCAGCCAAAATGCCATGGAGCCATAGCTCAAACCACATCCAAGGGCTCCTGTTCCACAGTGTGACCCACTCTGGGCACGGGGCCATAGTGGCAAAGTGAGTGCAGCTCTGGTCACTGCAACATTGGACAGCTTCTGAAAGCTGGGCAAGTCAGGAA